TCTTCATGTTCGACAAAAGGTCGCAGCTCAACCTTATGACGAAGTTCACGATTCAACCCGTGGAGGAATCTCAAAATTGTGGCCTCCTTGTCTTCGCCCAAATTAGCCCGTATCAAGAGAAACTAGAGCTCTTGAAAGTACTCTTCGACGCTCCTCGATCCTGTCGAATGCCCTGCTGAATCGGGACTAATTGTACACCTTTTATCCCCATTTCTCTTTGACGTTTATGGCATTTGAGTTCCCAAGAGGGTTTACGCTAGGTTTCTTGTGTTTCAATGTGTTTCAGAGTCTAACAAGTGAAACAACCCTAGAGTCGAAAGTTGGAAGAAAAGGTGCAAAGACCGGGCAAAGAGGAGGATTTAGCAACAATTTGCGGTCAAACATTGGAGTTCACAACCGCCATGACCGTGAACCAAAACCACAAAGCGTGAATCACGAAGCGTCCAGAGGAGTTTTAGAGGTTACTGACGCCGAGGCAGTTCACGGTTGCTAAGACCGTGAACTGGAGCCATGGACCGTGAACCCCTTAAGTGAAGCTGCGCGTTTTGATCTGTGTTCGCGCCTGATGTTCACGGCCGTGAACTGGGCGTGGTCTGACTATAAATTGAGAGCTGAAAGGAAGAAGAAAGGGAGCCCAAAGTGAGAGAAACCTTCTTCTTCTTGAAACCCTAGAGAGAGAAAGCATGAACCAAGAGGGAGAAGAGGCTAGGGTTTGCTCCAAGTGAAGATTTTCTAAGTTCCCCTTCAAGAGAGGATCTCTACAAGCACAAGGAGAGTTGGAGGCATCACAATGATGGTTTATTTCTTCATCCTTTGTGTTCTTCCTTTGTTTAGCATGGAGTCATTTCCCTTTTCACTTGGGTATTGTAGAAGCCTAAATTCTACCATGTAATTGATTGCGTGATGGTGGTTTTTAATTTAAGACGTGAGGTATTTTCATGGAGATTGTGCATTGTGTGTGCTGTGCAGTCTATTTTGCTATGGTTTTCTAAGGCATTCCATGCCTCCTAAAAAGGTTAATCAAGGGAAACCTCTAACTTAAATTATACACCTAGGTTAATTATGATTATGCCGTCCAAGCCTTGGTTTGATGGAGAAGGTAAGTCCACCCTCACTTGCTTGTGCCAAGAGGGCTACAATTATAGCCTATAATGCTTTCTTTGGCCTAGCAATTGAGAGGATGGTTTCTAGTCATTGTTGCACCTCCTACGAGTCATAATTGCCTTGTCCCACACCAAGTCATTCGATCCCACGGTACATGGTAGATAGTTAGGGGGAAGCAACTTCTGAGTGAAGCTTCTCACAAGGATTTTTCCACCCTTTTACTTTTCAAGTCTTGCTTTTAAATAGTAGATTGTAGAGATGTCAAAAAACAACATTATGCTAGATAATGTCTCAAACAATTGAAGTAGGGGTACATGGGCCGGTCCGGCTTGATATTTAAACATACTTGTCCTATATTGCACCCATCTAAGGTGTATACTTGGCCTTAGGTTGGATTTTATTGTGATATTCGGAGCGAGTCACCTGCAATGCATCGTAGAGGTATCGCTAAAAATATCCGGAAAAAATCGATCCCTCATCAGTCCATGCAACTCATCCCACGTAGTTAATGGTGCTTGGTGATTTCTTCTTCGATGGAGTTGGAGCTGTTCGCGCCACTGGACTGCATAGTCCGAGAATTCGTAACTAGCCATAGCTACTTTCTACTATTCGGTGAATTGGCCACATTGAAAGAAAAGGATAATTTTCCTTTCACAATCAAGGTATGCTGCAGGGATTGCCGGCTCTACCTTTTGGCAGCCTCCCCTGATAATCACAACGTTCGTGATATCGGTGACTTTACTGGGGATTCATCACAACCAACTGTTTCTCAAGTTCCTCTATCTGAGCCACACGCTCTCAATTGTGTTGTTCCTAGTCATCCCCTGTTTCCCTAACATGATGGCCCTCTGCTACTCGTCCTGCTTCCGGTATTGCCTGGGATAGAGTAACGAGCCTCTGACCATGCTGCACTAGCTGCTGCTCGATCTTGTCGAACCGAGCCTGGAATACCAGTCCCATCTGAGTCGTGATGGAGCGCAAGAATTTGGTGGTGTTGAACTGACCCGCCATTGAATTTTTGGCTTGAGTTTCCTCTTCAGATTCGGATTCAACCTTTAGATCTCGACGGTCGATTGGATCCTTCGATATAGTCCTTGAGGAAAGTGGTCCTCTAACTGTGTCTCGCGCCACTGTGTTTGAACCTAAGGCTTTGATGCACTTGATAACACCCTGGGGGTGTTTGGATTGGGAACTTGAGCTTGGAACTCAAGCTCTGAAATTCTTCGGACAACCTCAACAAATTGTCGAGAAGAATGAAGTTGAAGATGGAATTCGATGTGAAATCCTAAACGTGGAGGAAGGCTCAACAAATATAAGTGGACACTCACCCACAACCAATGTGATTTTGATCGATGAGCTCAATCGAGCTTGGTTTTCTCGAGAACTTAGTTTTTAGGGTTTTAATCTAAATCGATTACAAGCCCTTCATGCAGTTTAAATAGAACATACAAACAAGCTAAAACACAAAGGAAATCGAATTAAACAAGGAGAGTAAAACCAGTCCTAATCCTAATGCAACAAGGAAACCAAATTCTGCCTTTAGCCTCAAAAAATGATTAGCCTTCGAGACCATCTTTGAGCAACATGATCGAGGACCTCCTGGTGAGTAATTGATAGACCATTGATTGCACAGGTTTATACCTCCATTCTTGAGCCATTCAAGATTCGATTCTCGTGTATTAATCCGATTTCACGCTAGGTTGTGTGTTCATGTCATATTTCAAGACTTGGCGTTGACGTGAAGGCGAGGAAACGAGTTTCGGGTCAAAAAGGAGGACACTTGAGTGAAGGGCGCTGGAAGAGCAAAATACCTGACCAGGAGTTAAAATACCCAGCCGGGTAAAATGCAAAGAGAGGTCTAGGATTTCATGTTTTGGATGCCAGAGTTCCAAAAGGGGTCTCGGCCGAATTGCTAAAATACCCGATCGGGTATTCTAAACGTTGATCGGGTATTTCCCTTTTCCCCACTACGCAAAGTTTAAAAATACCCGGCCAGGTACCTAAAATACTCAACCGGGTATTATGGGCGGGGATCACGACCTGTTGATTTTTAAAGGAAAGGAGACCAATTTTTGAAGAGTTCCGAGTTTTAGAGATAGAAAGCTGATACCTAGAATGAGTGATGAACCATATTCTCCAAGCGCCCTAGATCGATCTTCATCACCATTGGAGCTCAGCTTAAGCTTGGAGAAGTGTCGATTGATTGCCAGAAGCAGAATCCCATCCTTCACAACATGGTTTCCGCATCTGAGCTAGATTTCCCTTCTCTCTCTATAGAGTAAACCCTCTCACTCACCTGGGTATGAAGAACCCTAGATTTATATGTTAGGTCTGATTGTATGAACCCATGTACGAATTCATTGATATTGATTATATTCAATTGAGGTTTGATTTCCTGAATGGCATGAATCTTGATCAAATTCCTATTATTTCTGATTTGACCTAGAACGAGAATATCTGCCTAGGTTGATAGAGCACCCTTGATTGAAGGTAGTGAATTGACGACTTTGGTCGAGGAGTCAATTCACTATTATGTACCGGATTTACTTCGGTAGAGGATGCTTGGTTCTTTAGAGCCTCAATCTGTTTACTCCAGTGGATGTTAGTCGCCTGCTAGGGACTCAGATTGAGAGGGTCTAGAGACCTTTAGTCGAGACTGCGGACTAAGAACCTCCCGCGGTATAACTATCATTGCACTTAAACTTGGTGAATTACAACCTGGCTTAACTGCAGTCTAGGGGGAACCATATCTAAGTGACCTCTCTCAACTTTGAATACAACTTTCACTACTTTTGCTTGCTAGTTTAGTAAAACCTTCACTACATTTGAACCGCTAAATAATAAGATTTTCACGGAGTAGTCATCACACCTAGGACCCGGGTTGACATTTAGAAATGAACCCACTATACTACGCATTAGTAGGTGGTTACACTTGGCTACTTTTTAGTGTGACGGTAGAGGGGTGTCAATTTTTTAGCGGCGTTGCCGAGGACAGCTAGATTGTTGAAGAAACGTGATTTCTGTTACTTTAACATTTTCTTTCCGCATTGATTGTTTGCTTTTTCCAACTTGTGCCTTCACGGGTTTGCTTGCTTGGCTGTGTGCAAGTAGTGCATGACCCATAGTCAGTCGAGAGGTTTACTACCGTTAGATCCCGAGCTAGAACGCACTTGTCGCCAACTAAGGAGACATCAGCGAGCAAGACTAGCTATAGAGGAAGTGCACCTCGACGGCCATCTGAGCAGCAAATCCGAAGAGGAATACGAGATGGGCGACGAGCACAACAGGGGGAACCTTAACCTGGGGCAGAATCAACCCCTTGGGATGCCCATGCAGGTTCCCCCAGTGAATCAGATCCTGGGGAACAACCCAGTCCCCCAGGAAGATGGGGGTCAGCATCCACCACCGCCGCCGAGTCCTACTATGGAGTACTAATACACTCCACGGGTCGCCCGACATCCTCCCCGTCATCCTGTATCGGCCCATTCTAGAAAAAAACTTTGAGATCAAGCCATGGTGGATTCAACAGATTACATCGTCTATTCTGTTCCATGGCTTGAAGGATGAGGAGGCGAGGGTGCACCTTTCCTGTTACACCCCGATCTTTCTAAGGGTCAAAATGACTATTTTACCCTTGGTTAAATTCATCAAGTTTTATCGTAATATCGAGGAGGACTAAAAATGCGAACTCTTGGTTCAAACGGTGTCGAGTTTCGATATAAATCGAATAAGTTACGGATGTTAGTTGAGTTACGGATTAAACTCACCCGTAATTTGTGAAATTCCCCGAGTCAGATAAAATCCAACCCTAACCTCATGCTCCACTGAAGGTGATAAAACCTAAAACCCTAAGCAGCCTTTTAGTCTTCACCACCAAACAGTTTCCCGGACCTGGGATGACAACCGGCGCAGCTCTCCCTATTATGAGAGGCGTGTGCTTAAGCAAGGTGGAGGGCAATTATCCAGGACAAACGAAAGCGGCGCTATTCAGGACAAAGGAAAGCGGGCCATCGAGAGCTGCTCGTCCGAGGCGGTGGGATATTGGGGAAATCAACCAGGCGGTATGGTCCGAGCGGGATCTGTTCGTCCGAGAGCAAGGCCGCCGTTGGTGCACCGATCTCGTCAAATTGGGCTCTGCCTGCAAGGTGACCCTCTCTACTACGAGAGCTACTTGCTTAAGCAAGTTCGTCCCGCAGGTTTGGGAAGGAAAAAGCGAAAGCAATCATGAGACGGCATGCTCTCGGGAGGCCAACGGAGGATCTCGTGAGGACCTGTTTGCGGCGGGGAACCAGCCAACCCGGCCTAAGCAGAAGATTAAGAATACTCTCCCTACTACGAGAGGTGCTAGCTTATGAAAGCAAGTAGGACCAATATGCAGGCAAGCAGGACATCGATAGGAGGCGGCCATTATTAAGCAGGCAGGGTATTATTAAGCAGGCAGGAGCTGAGCCAAATTAGGGCAAAAGCACATAATCAAGCCAGTTCCAAAAGGTGAGTGTGAAGGGGGTAAATTCTACGCCTTAAGTACTCTTTTAAGTTTGACAAGCCTTAAGTATTTGTTGAAGTGATTGTTATTGCTTGATTGTGCTTATGGTTGATGATATGTGATTTTGTTTGAGCCATGTTTGATGTGATTGTCCATGAGTTTTATTTAAATTTAAGCTTTGAGTTTATAAGTTATTGTTGAAGTTAAGAAGCAAGTCCTTTTTAAGAAGTAACTCACCTTCAAGAAGGTGAAGTCGTTTTAAGTGTTTTTAGTCACTAGCGCCAGTCCGTTACCATTTGAGATTTCCAGATAGAGCAGCAGTTATGCTCTTGAGATCTTTGAGACAGAGCAGCAGTTATGCTCTTGAGACTTTTAAGATGGACAGCAGTTATGCCCTTGAGAATCGTGGTGAAGAGCCACCACGATAAGTTTAAGATGTTAGGGGGATGAATCGTTACGACTTCCCTAACTAAGTTTAAGTTTAAGGAAAGCCTTGATGGCTTCTCATACGTATGAGTTGGCAACCGGACTAGCTAGTGAGGGATCCCCGTGTCAGTCAAGTATTTAAGTCGAGATTTGAGCTTTAAGAATTCAGTTTTAAGAGTTAAGCTTTTTAATAGTGGAAGCACAAAACAACTTCCACTCAGTTAAGTAAAGTGATCAAGTATTAATAAGATGTTAAACGTAAGGGCGTAGACTGACCCCATCTCACTCACCAGTTTGAGGAGCTAGAGGAGCAGTTAGTGAGCAGCAAGTTCGAGGGCAGCCAGCTAGAGGAGAGCAGTATAAGTGTCACGGAGGATGCTCAGTCAAAGATTTCAGTAGCAACAACTTCAGAGATTATTAGTTATATACATTTATGATTATGAGTACAGACTGGAGATTATTTTGAGATCAGTTTGAGATTTTAAAGTTTGAGTTTAATTTGCCCACGTGTTAGGGCTTTGCTCTGAGCTACAAGTGTGTGTTTTCAGTATTTTATTTATTAAAATTTTTCCCAGTCGCCATTTAAGATTTGAGTATTTTAGTTATCAAGGGCATTTTAGTAAAAGTAGTACCCGGCCGGGTTAGGGTGTTACATCCTTGGGTAGGTCTTAACATCGGTCTCAGTTTTCAAGGTTTTTGTTTTTTTAAAGGAAAGAAAAAAATGAGTCAAGGATCTTCTTTTAAGAGTTTATAGAATCTCCAGTCTACTCTAATCATAATAAGGTGAATAACTATTACAACACGACACTACGAGAAGGTAGCACAATGGTGCAATTGGTTTAAGAATAAGCTAGGACGCGAGTTAAGTTATCACGTCGTGGGACGTCAAATAAAAGACTGAGGCGTACGACGATCATGAGTGTGAAAGGAAAGAAGAAAGAAATGTGGCCAACTCTTTTAGAATCTCAAGATACAAGGAAAAGGAAGGAGGAACGTTGCAAAGGTCTATGGAGGTAGGATCAAATGTGCGAGGACTTCAACTCCAAGCACCAGCAAAGAGGTACCAATTGAAAGGGAATACCTCAAGGATTTTGAAGGAGTTGAGAAAGTAGTACGAGGATTTACTACTAGGAAACAAGTGGATGATCTAATAAGCTAAGACAAACACAGGGGAGAAATATGAATCTCCAAAGGAAGAGGAACAATCACCAGACGCCAGTAGCTATGATAATAGGATGATGTTAGGGTCTTTGGTCCTAAGCAGTGGAAAGTGGTAAACGGGTCAAGAAAATAAGAGGTACCCCGAGAAGCCCCTCAGCTAGTTTTTGTGTTCGATGGCTCAACGCTGTTACATCATAGTGACAAGGAGCAGAGAAAAGCTTAGACTTCAAGAAAAGCTAGGGTAGTGTAAATGGAGTAAAGGAGTAAGTAAGTAGGTTATAGGGGGTCTGAAAAGACGTCAAGAAGTCAAAAGGTCAAGGCGGAGAGGAGGTATGGTCGTTTGCATATAACGATAAAGGAACCCTTATAGTTAAACTACGTCACTAGAGGAGAGGGTACACGACCCTGGGGGTTAGGCCGATGACAAGCCGTTAGAAGGAACAAGGCAAGCAACGAGATAAATGATGTAGAGGTTGAGGTTAGATCAGGCATGCTATAAACCTGTCAAGCGCAAGCTAGAGGACAAGGTATGAGAAGGGGTTGAGAGACCCTGCAAATTACCATGATCAAGGAGAATCAGAAAAATCGTGGAATTTCAAGGAATCCATTGGGAAAGTCTAAAGTGGGAACTAGAGGGCCAAGAGCGGGAGTCTCGGACCAGCCGTAGGAGTAAATCATTCAATCAACCGGATATAGGCAAGCAAGTACAGCGTTCATTAGAAGTTCTAATGAAAGTTGGGGAATTCGAGGAAGAGTCTAAACGGTCGTAAAGAAGAGAGTTTGCGAGCAATACCAAGGAAGAGCAAAAAGGCCAGAGGGATTTTGACGAGATTTCAAGAAGTCAATGGGTCAAGTCTCAGGTGACTCGAGGTCAAGAAGAGGCATAAAGAGGTACGATGAGGAAAATCATTGCCAAGAAGGAGGAAATCATTAAGTTACCTTACCCAAGGTGCCCCACTCTGAGGGAGTACGATATAGTAGGATGTCATCCATAAAAGAAGGTCAGTTAAGGATAAATTAGTGATATTTAGTTAAGCCACTAAGAGCCATGACTAAGAGATTAAGGCTATGTACAAGCATCGATTGAGACAAATGACGTGAATGAGGTATGTTAAGACCTACCCAAGGAAATCCTCTATTGGAAGCTTTAACCCTAACAATAACGAGAAGATACTCAACGGAGCTTGGTGACCGAAAAATAGTACAAAGCAGCAACGGAAGAGTAGTAAAAGTAAAGAAGCAAGGAGAACACCATAGGACGCTATAGGAAATAAAAAAAAAGTAAATAAAAAAAAAGAGTGGTTGTCGACCGGACAATGAATGCGTGAAAGAAGATAGTTGGGACGTGGTCGAACACCATCGTGAGTAGAAGTCGTGGGTGTCATCTGTCAAGTCTACCTAGAGAAAGTTTCGAGTGGAAATGTTGGCTCTGAGGTATGGCGAGGAGCTACTAAACTGAGTAGATCAAAGCTAGTACCAAGCATCGATGAAGGAGTTGTAGAAGTAAGGAGGAAACCACAAGCTATACTTAAAGTTATGGTGAAAAGGGTGGTAGTTGATAAAACGTCAAATTCAGGGAGAAAGATAGTTAGGAAGAGCCGACGAAAGAATACGAAGGTCAACAAGGAGGCGTTAAGGTAATGGCCAGTGGAGAATAAGTTGGAACATAGGAAGCCCAGCAAAAATGGAGAAGCTCAATGGTCAACTTTAAAGTAGAAGTGTGGTGGTCCAGAACGGTCGAAGGGAAAACCTTATCGGTCAAGGTACATAAGTGAGAAGAGAATATGGACACCTAGAGGACTATGTCGCGAACAAGGGACATCTAAACCGAGAAAGGAACATCAAGGAGAAGAGTCACGAGTAACGAAGTAAGAGGGCTACAAGTTTAGCGAACCTTATAGAATACCACAAAGTGAAACCCAAAATCGCCTATGCTGGTGAAATGTGTTAATCTCTCAGGTAAAACTCTATCGGACGGGGGAAACTGTATGAGGAATTTCAGCTGGGGCTAAGAGTAGCAGAATGGATAATAAGAGAACTTCAAATTCAGGTGGCGATAAGGAGGTGCTAAGTTAGGTGCTAGGAGTGAACATGTAAGCCAAAGGGAAGTTCATGACTCTTGAAGGGAGTCATATGGTTGTTAGCAAGCTAGAGAAAGATGCAAAGGATGCCTTTAATGCATACAAGAAGTAAAAGCAGTAGTATGAGATTTCAGAGTTAAGCAAGAAGTAACGAGGAGATGACCACTCAATTTATGGTTAAAGGATAAGACAAGGCATCAAGGAAGAAAGTAAGAGATACAGAGTTAGGAGATACAAGGACCTAGGTGACCCATGAGGTTAATCCAGACGAGAGTTACGTTAAAGGAGTTTGACCATCTGACTAGATGGAGGACAAGCCGCCATATGTAACCCTAAGGTTGAAGGGGGTATTAAGAACATCAATAGGGACGTGTAAAGGATTCTTTCATGCTAAAGGCACCAGATATGGTGAATCAGGCATCAAGTGTGTGTATCAAGTGGAGTTATCAAAGATGAGCATAATGAGCCATAAAAAGGGAGAAGAAGTGATACCTAGGAACCAGCATCGGAGTCAATCATTAAGTAGGTCAAACATTCTACACCAAGGAGAGTTGTCAGCAGGCAAGATAGGGTGGACAAAGTTCAAGGTCTGGGCCTGGTATGAGCTGAAGTTACAACGAGTCATGACCTGAATAGCTGGCTAATAATTTACTTCCTTAAGCTCTTAAGGAATCCTACGTAGAGACCCAAGACAAATCGTTGAGAACAACAAGAGCTACGAATGCCATTACACCATCAGAGGCATTTAAGAAGGGAGAGTGCCTTAGTGCCATAGACTCATTAAGCAAGTAACTAGCTTGAGCAAGAGATTTATGAAAAATGGGTGAGCAATTAGTTGGCGAAGAACCACACGAATTGGAGGAAGGGGTTTATAGCTCCAGGTTGTATGAAGTAAAGGAAGTATAAGTCCTTGCAGCAGAAGGATTACCTCAAGTGAGACTTTAGGTTATCAACAAGGAGCAAATTTCGAGGTCGAAATTTTCTTAAGGAGGGAGGAAATGTGATACCTCGACTTCGGTAGGTTCAACATCAAGTACTGGATCCAAGTTGGAAAATTTTGGAAAGGGCAAGTAGCCACTCAAAGCTACTCGATGCTAATGAGCTTGTTGAGAATACCTTTTATGGTCAAGAAGAAATAACTTGAGGTGAGGTAAACTATACGGGACAAGCAACGGACATCATCAAGGTTCATATAGAGAGA